CTGATATTTAATCTGTGTGGTTTTGGCCGTGGGCAGGACACTGTCTCTATGGGGTAGTGGGTGGGTAACAGTACAGAAGCTGCAGAGGGGTGGGTTAAACTACGACTCTGCTTCCTGGTCTGGACCCTGGGTTTTCATGGAGGACTATTAAAACTGGCCATGTTCCTAGAAAGAAGAGCTGCCCCACCCAAAGAGGGATGGATGCCGTCTCTCCGCATCAGACCAGGTTTTCCCCAAAAAGTTTTCCAATTATCAGTGTAGCCCACGTTGTTTTCAGGACACCACCTAGACAACCAGCGGTTGAAGGACAGCATGCGGCTAAACATGTCGTCTTTGGTCCGATCAGGCAGGGGGCCAGAGAAAATTATGGAGTCCGACATTGTTTTGGCAAACTTACACACCGAAGCAACATTAATTTTAGTGACCTCCGATTGGCGTAACCGGGTGTCGTTACTGCCAGCGTGAATAACAATCTTACTGTATTTACGCTTATCCTTAGCCAGCAGTTTCAGGTAAGATTTAATGTCGCCCGCTCTGGCCCCAGGTAAACATTTAACTATGGTTGCTGGAGCCTCTAATGCCACGTTTCTGACTATGGAGCTGCCAATGATCAGAGTCGGCTTGTCAGTGGGTGCGTCACTGAGCGGGGAAAATCTATTAGAAACGTGGACGGGTTGGTGGTGGCCCACGGGCTGGGTTCTATGCTTCCTGCGTACCGTCACCCAGCCGGCCTGAGGTCCCAGCTGCTCGGGTTCTACTGGAGGATCGCTACGGGGTGTTTCTGAGCTAGTTAGCCCCGCACTAGCTAAGTAGCTACGGCTGTTTATGGGTTATTCAACAGTGCGGAGCCGGTACTCCAATTCCGACACCCTCGCCTCCAAAGCTACAAAAATGCTACATTTATTACACGTACCATTATCACTAAAGGAGGCAGAGGAGTAACTAAACATCTGACACAGAGAGCAAGAGATAGGAGACGGAGAAGCAGAGACAGAAGTAGCCATAGCCGTGCTGAGGCTAAGCTAACTGGACGAGCAAACTGTTCAACACCAAATAAACTGCGTGCGAACTCAAATGGTTCCCTAAAAGCTAGGTGGAACAACAGAAAATGTGTGTTTTAGCGTGCTTATGTGCTACAATAACTCAGAGATATCCTAGTGCAGAGAAATTAAATCAGCTTTAGCGAGCCCCAAACACCAAACAGCTACACGTAGTGCAACACTGAAAACAGGAAACGGGAAACGCCTTACCGTCATGCCCAGTTGGTACTAAGGGGCCTAAAGTGTGCCAAGAAAACATCCCCCACACCATTACACCACCACCACCAGCAGCCTGCACAGTGGTAACAAGGCATGATGGATCAATGTTCTCATTTTGTTTACGCCAAATTCTGACTCGACCATTTGAATGTCTCAACAGAAATGGAGACTCATCAGACCAGGCAATGTTTTTCCAGTCTTCAACTGTCCACATTTGGTGAGCTGGTGCAAATTGTATCCTCTTTTTCCTGTTTTTAGTGGAGATGAGTGGTACCTGGTGGGGTCTTCTGCTGCTGTAGCCCATCCGCCTCAAGGTTGTGCGAGTTGTGGCTTCACAAATGCTTTGCTGCATTCCTCGGTTGTAACGAGGGTTAGAGTTAGTGTATTCTATCAGCTTGAATCATTTGGCCCATTCTCCTCTGACCTCTAGCATCAACAAGACATTTTTCCCCAAAGGACTGCCACATACTGGATGTTTTTCCCTTTTCCCACCATTCTTTGTGAAACCTAGAAATGGTTGTGGGTGAAAATCCCAGTAACTGATCAGATTATGAAATACTCAAACTGGCCCGTCTGGCACCAACAACCATGCCACAATCAAAATAGCTTAAATCACCTTTCTTTCCCATTCTGACCTTCAGTTTAGAGTTCAGGAGATGGTCTTGACCAGGACCACACCCCTAAATACATTGAAGCAACTGCCATGTGATTGGTTGAATAGATCATTGCATTAAGGAGAAGTTGAACAGGTGTTCCTAATAATCCTTTAGGTGAGTATATATCAAACTCTTCAGCTATTTTCTCTCTCAAAAAGTCAAAATAAGACAGATCTGAGGTTTAGTTTATTCGGCACAACTTCTGAAGCAGAAATGTGCCCTGGGTAGTGACAAAACAATCTTGACCAAAGGCTTGCTTCTCTTATCTGAAGATCATTAAAGTCGTTTTATCACCATAACGGCAATATGCAGAAAAAGAAAAAAACATTACTAATACACACATCTAGACGTGAGGGAGTTTTCATTGACGAGACTGGACAAAAGTCATCCTCAAAGTAAAAGCTACAGAGCTGCAGCTGCTGCTGCAGCAGTCTCAGGTCTGCAGGACCGCATGCAGCGGCTTCCCAGCCGCGGGAACGCACATAACCAAAGCCGCTTATTGAGGAAGTAAATTATTCGATCTAATCATTTACTTCCTCAATCAGCGGCAACGAGGCTACTTTCAAATATATTTGTAATATTAACACGTATCCGTGTGCATCCAGACAAAAGTCATGATAACGGGTAGATAAATGAAAGAAAGGACCGTTTTAAAGTCGTGTCAGAATGATTTTTCAGCTCCCCATTTCATGATCATGAGTCATGTTCCTGCTTTTTAACCCAGCAGCATCATTTAAGCCCGTCTGAATGTTAATGAGCATCTCTGTTGATGCTCAAGAGCAGAACTGGGTTATTTATATTAATGCTGTGGGCTGATGAAAACTGCAGTCCTACAATAAATGATAAACTCACTCCAGTAGCTCAGAGAAGGTGTTTGACCTCTAAATTCATCTGTTGAAGACTAGTACTCCATTAAATTATCCTTTATTGTAAAATTTAAATCCAAAATCGTTGTCAACTTAAACACTTTTGAGATTCAATCGACTAAAACTGACTAAAAGTATTTTCGGTTAACGTCTGAACTTATCTGAAACCAACACTGTAAGAATGAGGTTCAGCTGAAGTTGGAGACAAAATAAATTCTTTTCCTATTACTAACTTAAACTGAAGTAGATGCATAGAAAAGGTCTCATATTTAAGCATGCATGATAGGAGCTTTGTGGTGTTTGTAACCTAAAATATTTTAGTTTTTCTTTTTATTATCGCCTCTTTTAGAAAACAATGCTGCCGTTTAGGTGCCATGATCCCGTGGGGAGTTATTCTTAGTGGTCAGACCGACCGTGGCAGTGATGTGGCATAATCATGTAAAAGACAGTATCTGTGCAGCCTCTGGCGATCTGAGCTCCAGATCTAACGAAGAGAAGCGCCTGGAGCATCGCTCTAGTTTATCATCTCAGCTGGTTCTGTTAACAAAAGCGAGACTTACGGCTCGTGTTTACTTTCATTTTCAATATAGTTTTCGGTCGGAGCTTGGCAGTAACTCCACACATGATCATGACACCTCCCGCTGTTGTGCCAAGGTGGAATATGCGTTCACAAGTCCAACGTTGCGGTAATATTCCTACCAAGCGTGGCGGCATAAAGGCCACAAAATTCCTGCAACCCCATGCCGCCATGGCGCGTTCATAAGGCACACCGTGGCAGCGTGAGAGGGGGAGACAGCAAATATCGGTATCGGTTTATATCCGTATCGAAGATTAAGAGTCGACAACATGTCGTATATCTTTTTAAACGGCAATATCAAACATCCCTAAGTAAAGGGTTTCCTTTAGATTATTAAAATATCATAGCACGCAGTCACTGGCAAAACAAAAGAACTGAAAATTAACAGGAAAAGATGGGACAGTTCTTTAACCTATACCAGGGGAGTCAAACTCAAACTCACACGGGGCCGAAATGAAACTCTGGGACGGAGTCGAGGGCCAAACTTAATATTTTTTGAAAAAGTGACGGCAAATTCTTTGTCAACATAAATGCAATTTAGAACCTTTAAATGTGGAAACAAACATATTTCTGCATCAACACTGAATGTGGAATAACCAAATTACACACGAGCAAGTCAGTTTTAAATAAAAGGCATCAGTGGTATTCATTACTTGTGGTATAATCAGCATTTTTAAAATCTATCCAGGATTTATGTTTTCTTGTTTATTCATTTTTCTTATTTTTTATTCTCCTTTTTTCTCCTGTAATACGTGTCATCGCTGCTGTGACGTCTAGCTTTCCCCACTGAGGAACAATAAAGGGATTTTCTATTCTATTCATCTATCTGCAGCCTTTCCACTTCCTGTTTACTGTAGGTTAAATCTTTTCTCACGGGCCAACAACAAAATAAAATATCATTTTATCTTAAATGAAAATGCAACATCTCACCTGTTAACTTTCATGTTTTGGAGCAGAAAAAGAGCATCAAACCAACATATTTAAAGCTCAGTTTGCTCCACTGGTTTACTGTGATGCTCACCTGTTCCAGCCAGATACCTGCATCATGGGGTTGATCTGAGCTGAGGAGGAGACTCCTGTTGTTTTGTTCATCTTCATCATAATAATGACAACATTAGATGACAACAGGTGCTCACATAGGTTTGTGCTGATGAACATGTCTGAGCAGCTTGACCGCGTTGTTGTGTGTCGGGGAGGAAACACGACGACAGCAGCCACAGAGTCATGCTGGTTTGAGCGTGTCGCTGCTCGCTGGAGTTATATCAGCTCTGTCTGGAAGTTAGTTTGAAAACTTTCTCTTTAAGTCGTGAACACATTACTGAGCGGTTAAAATCTCAGTTTCTGGGCTTCAGCGTCGGCAAGTAGCTGAGTGAACTCGGCACTGAGTGAGAGGAGTGTTTAGTTTGTCCGAGACAGAGGAGCTGCAGACACCGGCAGCAGACGCTGGAAAAACACAAAGGAGGGGGCGTTTCGGCTCTGCGCTGACGCCACAAAGCATTGTGGGAGTTGAAGTCTTTGTGGTAAAATTGGCCAGCAGGTCAGCTGTAATATATTTTTGATAATTATCTCGCGGGCCTCATAAAAATGCTCCGCGGGCCTTGTGTCTGACACGTGACCTAGAACATCAAAGTCAAGTCCTTACCTAAGGAGGAGGGGGTCAAGGTCCAGCGGATGTTCCTATATTTGCGAGCACACAGGCAGAAGGTAACCTGGTCATCGGAGAGGAGGGTTAGGGTGTAATACGAGGAGACAGCTGGAGTCACTTTGACCTGATGAAGAGGAAGATAGAGCATATTTTTAGAAAACCACTGCAGCTGCATTGCTACAAGAACAAGTGACGCTACACTGACTTAAAACTAAAATCGCTAAGCTTTTAAACAGAATCTAAGATTTCTACCATGATGCTGCGAGGCAGATGGTTAAAGACCGTTGCTTTCAGTATAAAGCTCTCCTCCTTGATGATGGAGTATGGCAAATGGAAATCCAGTGACAAAGGCTGGACGACTCTGAATAGGAAGCGAGGAGCCAAGCCAAATGAGTGAGGAGCCAAACAGAAAACCTCTGCCTCCCAGGTGGTGATGGTGTCGGGCGTAGTATAGGGCACACAGGTTGCTCCTCTCTCCCTGCAACACAAACACATGGTAAAATAATGGTGTCAGGCTTTGGCTGAGTCTGATGACTCAGACTAAATACAGGTGCTGGCCAGTAAATTAGAATATCATCAAAAGGTTGAAAATATTTCAGTAATTCCATTCAAAACGTGAAACTTGTACATTATATTCATGCAATGCACACAGACCAATGTATTTCCGATGTTTATTACGTTTAATTTTGATATTTATAGGTGACAACCAATGAAAACATCAAATCTGGTATCTCAGAAAATTAGAATATTCTAAAGGCCAATGAAAAAATGTTTGTTTCTCTAATGTTGGCCAACTGAAAAGAATGAACATGAAAAGAATGTGCATGTATAGCACTCAATACTTAGTCGGGGCTCCTTTTGCCTCAATAACTGCAGTAATGCAGCGTGGCATGGACTCGATCAGTCTGTGGCACTGCTCAGGTGTTATGAGAGCCCAGGTTGCTCTGATAGTCGTCTTCAGCTCCTCTGCATTGTTGGGTCTAGCGTATTGCATCCTCCGCTTCACAATACCCCATAGATTTTCTATGGGGTTAAGGTCAGGCGAGTTTGCTGGCCAATCAAGGACAGGGATACCATGGTCCTTGAACCAGGTGCTGGTGGTTTTGGCACTGTGTGCAGGTGCCAAGTCCTGTTGAAAGGTGAAGTCTGCATCCCCATAAAGTTGGTCAGCAGCAGGAAGCATGAAGTGCTCTAAAACTTCCTGGTAGACGGCTGCATTGACCCTGGACCTCAGGAAACAGAGTGGGCCAACACCGGCAGATGACATGGCACCCCACACCATCACTGACGGTGGAAACTTTACACTGGACCTCATGCAACGTGGATTCTGTGCTTCTCCGCTCTTCCTCCAGACTCTGGGTCCTTGATTTCCAAAGGAAATGCAGAACTTGCTTTCATCAGAAAACATAACTTTGGACCACTCAGCATCAGTCCAGTCCTTTTTGTCCTTGGCCCAGGCGAGACGCTTCTTGCGCTTTTTCTTGTTCAAGAGTGGCTTGACACACGGAATGCGACACCTGAATCCCATGTCTTTCATGAGTCTCCTCGTGGTGGTTCTTGAAGCGCTGACTCCAGCTGCAGTCCACTCTTTGTGGATCTCCCCCACATTTTTGAATGGGTTTGTCGTCACAATTCTCTGCAGGGTGCGGTTATCCCTAGAGCTTGTACACTTTTTTCTACCACATTTTTTCCGTCCCTTCGCCTGTCTGTTAATGTGCTTGGACACAGAGCTCTGCGAACAGCCAGCTTCTTTAGCAATCACCTTTTGTGTCTTGCCCTCCTTGTGCAAGGTGTCAATGATTGTCTTTTGGACAGCTGTTAAGTCAGAAGTCTTCCCCATGATTGTGGTGCCTTCAAAACAAGACTGAGGGACCTTTTAAAGGCCTTTGCAGGTGTTTTGAGTAAATCAGCTGATTAGAGTGGCAGCAGGTGTCTTCTATATTCAGCCTTTTCAGAATATTCTAATTTTTTGAGATACCAAATTTGGAGTTTTCATTAGTTGTCACTTATGAATATCAAATTTAAATGTAATGAACATTGGAAATACATTGGTCTGTGTGCATTGCATGAATATAATGTACAAGTTTCACGTTTTGAATGGAATTACTGAAATATTTTCAACCTTTTGATGATATTCTAATTTACTGGCCAGCACCTGTAAGCATAAAGACCATAAATAAGCTTAAAGACTAAGTTCACACATTTTTTCAGTACATTTACAGTGGTCTCTAGTATAAACTAATCAGCCTCTTTGGGACAAAAGCTCTAGTACTACTGTTTCAGAGGGCAGAAGTTAGAGGAGTGGGGAGAAAAACAATGCAGGCTCAGAAGTCTTATTTCCTGATATTCAGACATTTACAGATGTGCTCTGCTCTCTCCTGGACAGTCAGAATCAACAACAGCCTTCACTGTTGTGAGTCAAGACGGGTGAGTCCATGAATGCTAATTTTTAATGTGACAAAAAAAACCGACTGACTTTTCAAACTCAAGCATTTTCCTGTTTATTCTCTATTGGGAGCTAAGGCTAGCCTGGCCAGCCATGCTAATGATCCCTAAAGGGAAGCAAAGGGCCTGGTAATGCTGCTATTCATGTAACTCCACCCCCTGAGAATACTAACTGAGCCAATCAGAGCTGAGCAGAAGCTCACACGGCGACGCTCAGCTTCTCCTAAACAACAAAGATGGCGTCTGAAGCCGAGTCTGCTGCAGCTCTTTGCTCTGTTTTAAATGACTAGAATATGTTTTTAAAACCACAACAAGAAGAAGCACTTAAAGCCTTTCTTCTGAAGAAAATTGTTTGCGCTGTCGCCAGACGCCATCTTTGACTACAGCTAAAAAACTACAGCATCGTGCGATACAGTCGCCATTTCCACCTTTCTTCTGATTGGTTATTTTTGAGTTGGCTAGTCCCGCCCCCATGGTGCTCTCTGCCTCTGAGTACTCATACTTGTCCTCTGTGTAGAGTAGACAGAGGATGGGTCTGGCAGGCCAGGCTAAGCTAATGCAGGAAATAGGTGGTAAAAAGCTTTTTTCACCTTAACTTGCACGTTAAAGTCAGGGTCCAAAATGAACAAGTAAAAAGCTGTTTCTCAGTGAACCTGGTCTTTACCGTAACTTGGAACATTGACAAAAACAGAATGCTTCTTTTGACATAGCCAATCACAATATTCTCTTAGAAAGGCTCAAACATGTTGTAAGGATTACGGGAACAGTGCTAGGCTGGTTCAAAGAGTCTTTCTGGAGTTTTCTCCTTTCAGAAATGATGTATGATGTTTCAGAAATCCTTTAAAGTGATTGTCTCATCATGTACTTTGATATAATGAAAGCAATACATACGTATTTTTTAGTTTTTGCTAAGCACGCTCCCTGCCCTGCAGAGCTCCTTGCAATAGTAAACTGAGCGCAGACCCTAACTAGCCAACAGCGTTAGGCTATTTCACTATTTCACTGGAGTGTGCACCACTTGTCTCTACCGCTTACATTAAAGGAATACCTCTGCTAATGCAGAGTTGATGAACTTTTCACAGAGAAGTAAGTCTCTAAAATATAAATTTATGAGAACAGATTAGAAGCATCCTTTAGAGTTCTGATGAGAATTAAAAAGAGAGATCATATCTCTCCTGTCTTAGCTTCCCTACATTGGCTACCTGTTAAATTCAGAATAGATTTTAAGATCCTTCTTCTCACATATAAAGCTCTTAATAATCAAGGTCCATCATACATCAGTGATCTGATTGTTCCATACATTCCTAACCGAGCACTTCGCTCTCAGACTGCAGGTCTACTGGTGGTTCCCAGAATATCTAAAAAATAAAATAGGAGGCAGATCCTTTAGTCATCAGGCTCCTCCCCTGTGGGACCAGCTCCCAGCTTTAGTCTGTGAGACAGACTCCTTGTGTACTTATAAGACTAGGCTTAAAACATTGTTCTTTGATAGGGTCTATGGTTAAAATCTGATGTTAGCCCAGGTTTAGATGAGTGTGGAAGTAGAGGGAGGTGTGTACAGTGAGGAACATAGTTGGTAAAGATGGTTCTCCCTGGCCCTGCCTCGCACATGCCTCCTTCTAAGGGGTTAGGTTACCCCATGTTATCCATGTAGTTATGCTGCTATAGGCTTAGAATGCTGGAAGACATATTTTCCGCACTCTGCTACTTTCTTCTACCATTTCTTTCTAATTGCATCATTTCCTGGTAATTCGGCTTTTAGCTTTAAGTGTTTTCTCCCCAGAAGAAGCTACACTGGTGTTCTGTAGAGCTGTGATAGCCTCAGGGAGGGGGGCATTGGCTAGTACACTGCTGCCAACCACTGCACATTCTACCTCTCCCGATAGTTGTGAAGTGCCTCGTGACAACTCTTGTTGTGATTTGGTGCTGTATAAATAAATTGAATTCAATTGAATAGAATCTCACCCAACTTCCACCAAGTCAAAGATCCAGGTCTCCGTGGACAGAGAGTGGACTGGCTCCCCGGGTTTAGTGTCAGAACAAATATATGGGATGTTTCCAGGATCAGGGAGAAATTCCAAATCGTTTTTGCCAGGCTTGTTGTCCTCATCTTTGACGAACATAGCTGTAAATTTAGATCAAAGTTAAAGGCAAGCAGCAACACAATCAATTATTGTAAATCAGTCTGTAGCAAGTGATGGAGAAAGTAGGAAGCTTAAAACCTTTTTCATATTTTTTTCCTTGCAGCCTGAGGCACGGGGCATTCTGAATAGGCAAGTTCGTCGCCACTTGCAGATTAGTTTTCTACACATGTGAACAACAGCAAATAGGTGAGTAGGAGCACTACAAGAAGACCATGTGTGTTTTAGGGACTATAAATGTAGACTTTACCTTAAAAACTGAATAGGCATCTTCTTTTTCCTGATTGGTTAGAGCAAGGGCGGCATCTCTTTTTGGTCTCACTTTCACGCATTCAGACCTGTCTTGAACCTCAGGAGGGACGGAATTTGTCTTCTTCATCGGCAGCAAATCAAAAATCTGATAAAGAAATCAAAAAGTACAAATGTAATCAGGAGCTCAATGAGCAAAAGAACCATTTCCAGAATGTTCACAAGGCTGGTTTTATGTAACACTTGTTTAAGTCCATAACATGAAATTAAGGTTAATTAAATAACTTAGATCACAAAATCTTCCGTTTTACTAACAATGGTTGAAGCAAAAATGAATACAGCCCACAAAAATGCCTACATCTAGTATTTTGTACGACCACTGTGGAATGAACAAGTTGGCGGCATGTTGCATCATCCATCTTTCTCCATTCTTCAAGAAGAACCTGTTTCAGAGCCTGGATGCTGGAAGGAGAGTGATGCTCAACTTGCTGCTTCAGAGATCCCCACAGGTGTAGTGTTGGAAAAGTGCACGACGACCAAGTGCATGGAGTGAAGGCGGCATCTTCTCCTTCAGTATAGAGCAGGACTTTGTTGAGTTCATGATACCATCAATGAAAGGCAGCTCCCCAACACCAGCAGCACTCACGCAGCCCACACAAGGACTAGCCCGGCCTGCCAGACTCCTCCTCTGTTTAACTCTGCACAGAGAAAGGGTCTGGGAACTCTCCCATTCAAATAACCCCGCCCCCTGAGGATTCTAACCGAGCCAATCAGCGCTGAGTACGTCACACACCACAACGCTGAGTTTGTCATAAACATGTCGACTGAAGCGGAGTTCGCTGCGGCTCTTTCCTCTGGTGTAAATGACTTAAATGTCTTTAAAACCACAAGTAGAAGCTCTAAAAGCCTTTCATCTAAAAAAAATAAAAGATGTTTGCGCCGTTGCCAGACGTCATTTGTTACTACAGCCTGAAAACTACAGTGTTGCGCGGTACAGTCGGCATTTCCGTCTTTTTTCTGATTGGTCATTTTTGAGCTGCCTAGCCCCGCCCCTCATGTGTCTGTCTGCCTGTGAGTTACCAGACTCTCTCTCTCTGTGCAGAATTAAATAGAGGACGAGTCTGGCAGGCCAGGCTACGCCAGGATACCGCCACCGCCGTGGCATCATGTATTTCTCTTTGAAATCCTCATCTTTACGACACCATACCGTTTTGAAACCATTTGTTCCAAAAACAGTCATCTTTGTCTCCTCACTCCGGAGTCCAGGGTCCCAGTAGTCTTCATCTCTTTCAGCATGGGCCCTAGCAAATCCTAGGTGTGTTTTTTTGTGCATGGGCTTTAGGAGAGGCTTCCTTTGTGGACGATACCCATGCATGCCATTCCTCTGCAGCATGCGCCGTATGGTGTCACGGTACACTGTCACTCCACTTTTGCTTTCTACTGCTTTAGCTAACTGCAGTAAACTTGCATGGTGATTTTCTTCAACCCTTCTCATCAGAAGATGCTCCTGTCTAGATCTTAACTCCTGTGGACGGCCTGGACGTCGTTGTAAGATGGTTGAACTTCCATCTTCCTTAACTGTTTGGATCACTTTTGCTACAGTCTTCTGACTGATATGTAAAGATTTACTGATCTTCTTGTAGCCCTCATCTTTTTGTGTACAGAAATGAATTCCTTTCTCAGATTTAGTGACATTTCTCTTCCACGTGTTAAGTAATGTCCTTTTATAGTCACCTGTCTGCTGCACACCTCTTAAAGGAATCCTTACCCCGGCTTTCCACAGGAGCCGTCAGCAGCACGTTACTGCAGCAGCACGTCATAGCTGCTGATAGGAACCGCTGTGGTCAACAGAACCTTTTCCACTGGAGCCGTCAGCAGCGCGAGTCGGCCGCGTCTCAGGAGCAGCATGTCGCGGCCCTTACGCGCCGGTTCTATTTTCTACGCGCGACGCCTCTGAAACGGGTCAAGTTCGACATTTTTGGGGAAGGAAAGACAGGAAATCGGAAGCGGAAATGGAGAGAAGCTCCCGAGATTTTCAGAATAAAGAACGTACTTCCTTCCGGTTGCTTTACTTTAAAAAAGGTTACTAACTGTGCGTCCCCGTGAGAAGTTATCACCTAGCTAGCGGTCTCCTTTGTTTTTCAGGTCCGTATTGGCGATTATAAAACGGACAGAACATAAAACACAAACCATGTTGTAATTTTCTCCTGCTTGTTGTTGTGTTTACTGACGAAGTTACTTGTGTGACTTCGTGCTCTGTCGGTGACAGCTGCTCCCCTGCTGCTTCGCGTCTCGTGGGAAGGGCCAAGCAGCAGCTTACGCGAGCAAGACGTGCTGCTGGCGGCTCCCGTGGAAACCCGGGGTTAGACTTACCTGTGGTTGAATACCTGCTCATTTGAATTTTGTAATCTTAAGTGTGGCTTCTCTCCTAACGCTATAATTAGGGCGTACTCATTTCTGCAACATGGGCTTGAATGATTTGTTAGGAAAATCACTTTTTGCATGTGAAAATGAACAAATCTTATTTTCCCACGGTGTATACACACAATGTACAGCGCAACCTCTAGGACGTACAGCAGGTTTACCCTCCGTGTGTTTCATTCAGTAATGACCACAAATTACCTTATCTTCATCTAGAATCTTTCCTGGTGCCTTCTGGAGGACATTGACGTCCACAAGACTTACACCACACATAGACATGGGATGTGTCTTCACGCACAGTTTGACCTCCTCTCCGGGTACAGCCCGAGAAGGCGAAAGCCTCGCTCTTACCTAAAATGCACATAGAACAAACCACAAAGATTCAAATGAAAGTGTTGTTGAAACTATTTCACTGGAGTGTGCACCACTTGTCTCTGTCCACTCACCGTATTCTTCAAGCACTTCTCTGTGTTGAACTTTGCGCTGTGGGCAAGCACATTGTCACAGCTGAGGACAATATATGCCACCACCTGTATATACGGCGCAAAGTCTGGGCTGATTTTCAGAGAGAAGTGGAAGTGGCCGTTGTTCACTGGAACCACAATTAGGGAAAATTTTATTTAACATGGCACGTAAGACCAAAAATAAAATGTAACAAATGCCACTATCACACATTTAGACCCCTTGAATGGTATTGTTTACGTCCAGACAATAGTGTGCATGTGCTTGGGAGCAAAAAGAGATGTACCTTCGCGATTGGGGGGGGGCAAACCCTAACTATCTCATATAAATGTGATTGTGTGAAGTCAGACTGACTAATTTATTCACCTGGAGCAGTCAGTTCGAGCGCCTGGGATCCATGGTGGATGATGCGTCCTCTGGTTTGGACCTGGTGAGTTTGGAACAAGATTAGAGTTCGGAGAGTAACAGCACATTAATCTACATCAATATATCCATTATATGGTCGTTGATGCAAAGATTGACAGAACTTTTTATTAAACACACGTTTACACACTAAATAAAGACGCTAGGGGTGCTATGGTGAGCTGTGAGAAAACAGTGAAGAATTTGTTTCTCTCCTGGGAAATGACTGTAATATAGTTACATATCAAAGGTAAATATGGAAGAAAAAATGGTGTTCTGAGGCACTTCAAGTCATTTATTGAGGTGTGAGCCCATGGTCGCATGTGTCTATCTGACATGCCCTGAAGAAGGTAGCCCTAACCCTGCATGAATCTATCATAATTGATAGTTTCATATCAGTAAATGGATGCTAAATCAAATCAAAGTGAAATGGTGTTATAGCTGAAGTTTAGATATCATCAAACATCGAATCGCATTTCACTGTTTCATAAAGACTAACATTGTATAAGATGAGATTTACATCCCTAATATAAGTTATAGCTGTAAATGGATGAGATAACTCAGGAGGGATTTACTGCCATATGTGTGAGAATCACCACATTAGGAAACAGCTGCGAGCTCCATCTAAATGTTAAAATAATCGTTTTCAGGCTAAAGGCTTAGTTCACTTGTTTTGACAATACATTTTCAGTGGTCTCTAGTATAAATGAATGCCTTGTGAGTCTATCTCTGTGGGAAAAAAGCACTGGCACTGCTTTTTCAGGAACTGGAAGTGAGCCGGAGGAGACGGGAGCAGAACACAGCAGATTTTGGAATCTTACTTCCCGACACACTCTCACACCCGAAGCGGCTAACACTGACAAAGGGTGACGAAGCGTTTGTTTCTGATGCTTCGGGAGGCGACGCGCTGTGCCAGAACATTTGTTTCTGACACCTGCGATAAAACAGAGATTTTAGCGAACTGTGACCTTTACCCTCTTGCAATTTAACCTTCCCCTCGCCCCCATCCTAACCTTGACCCACTTGCGTATGTAAAAGATCGTATCTTGTATCGTTCCTCTCAAACATTTAGAAATTTAGATCGAGAAACTGGGTTAAGGTTAGGATGGGGTTGAGGGGAAGGTTAAATCGCTAGAGGTTAGATGTTAAATGTCAGTGAAATGTTTGTTTTCCTGCGGGCGTCGGAAAGCGACGCTCTGTCACAGCACGTCGCCTCCCAACAAACAAACAAACAAACAAACAAACGCTTGGTCACCCTTTGTCAGTTTTAGTCGCTTCGGGTGTGAGAATGTGTTGTTTTTCCTGATGTTCAGACATCTACCCTCTGATTGGCTAACAGCAACGCGACTTTACCACTGACTCTGTTTGCTTTACAACTCTGATGTTTTATTTCCACAAATAACACAAGCCTGAAGAACCTTATACACGTGTTTCTTGTATTTTGTCTGTGAAGCTCTTAAAAGGGTGGCAATATTTGAGCGGCCCCTTGTGAGGATCGTCAGTCCTAATCACCATATAAACGCTTCTTATTTTCTGATCCATACAAAAATATGGGCAGATCTCACACAGGATAATGGTTACTGACAATTAATTTGACACATTTGTAACAAAGTTTAAATTTTCTATGAATTTTAATATTAATATAAATATATTTTAAATATTGTTGAAACTGTAGTTAAAACATTTTTGGAACAAAGGTCTTTAGGTCTAGACTAAATATAAAGCATATGTGAAAGGACACGTGTACCTGTGATGATCTGAGAACTTTATTTACTTTATTTTATAATGAAGTATGAATTTTTTAATTTGGGTAGAATCATGAAAATGATACGCTTAATACTCATCATTGTTATGCCTTTAAAAGCTAGATGTCAATGTCATTGGTTGACATTTATTTTTATATCTGTTTTGATTTTCCATCATATCTGAACGTTTTGTTGGTATTCCTTGATTCCTTGTTTTCCCCTCGTCTAACCAATCATCCATCATTTGTTGTTCCTCGGGTTAAACAGGAGGTGGGGAGATTCCCTTTTAGCGTTAAAGCGCCTCAGGACAGGAGTTACCTACTGAATAAAGGCCCATCTCATCGCTTCGTCAGCGTAGTCGCACTGTTTGTTTATGTGAAGCCGATCTGTGACTGCTTTGCTTCAACTGTGTAATGATGAATCTGTGCATTTGTTGAACGCATTGTTGTTTTTTATGGCCAGTTATTCTTAATAAATTTGGATGTAAGTTTATTTTGCATTTCTATCTGATGTTAGTGTAATGCCCTTTTTTCTTGGAGTGACTCACAGCAGTTTTATTATTTATTTTTATCTTGTATTTATTTTTTATTTGTGAAGTTGTATTTAATTGTTATTGTTATCATTTTATTTTAAATCTATTGTGATTAAATAACTCTGCCATCTTTTCGTTATTGGCTGTGTTGAAGGAGGACCTGCTCGAAAACGAGATGTTACATCAAAAGCAGTTTATCCTCCTGAAAAACACAAGTTAAACAAATAAATGTTTATTCATTTAGCAGACGCTTTTATCAAAGCGACTTACAATTTATAACCTATAGGGCATGTTGTGATCTGTGGGGGAAACTGGAGTACCCGGAGGAAACCCGCGTATGCATGGGGAGAACACGCAACTCCACGCAGAAAGGCCACAGCCGAGTTTCGAACCTGCAACCTTTGGTGCTGCGAGGTAACAGTGCTAACCACTGCGCTGCCATTCATATAAATGAATAACTGAGAACAAAAATAAATATGTTCCATTTTTTCTTAAAAAAGCTTTGGATCTATGGATATAAAAACTACATATTATTACACATGTTCGCAGTGCCATCTGAGAATAATTTGGTAATTGATGATCATTTATGGATTTTGGTGGATTTTCTAACATTTGTTTAGTAAATCACAAAATGAAAGTCATGAATTTAAAAAAAAAACATTGCAACTAGGGACATTGTACAATTTTGATAATATTTTCCATATACTCGTAAATGTTAGTAAAATGTTGAGTAAATGTACTAAATGTAAAAATACAACATTTTTCATCAAACACTAATTTAGTTTTGTATTTGTTTGGGTCATTATAATTAGAAATGTAATTTTTTTTTAAATCAGTAAATTTAGAAACAAGAAAAAAAAACATTCTACATGAAATCATGGCAACCCAAGAATAATTTGGAAATTCATTGGTAAATGGCCTGTATTTGACACAGCGCCTTCCAAAATCCTGGAACCCACTAAGGAGCTTTACAACACATTCAGTCATTCACCCGTTCACACACACATTCACACCCTGGTGGTGATGAGCTACCATGTAGCCACAGCTGCCCTGGGGCGCACAGAGGCGAGTCTGCCGTACGCAGACGCCACCGGTCCCTCCGACCACCACCAGCAGGCAAGGGGGTTAAGTGTCTTGCCCAAGGACACAACGACAGCGACAGACTGAGTGGGGCTTGAACCTGCAACCTTCCGATTAGGAGGTGAGCACTTAACTCCTGTGCCACCATCATTTATAAACTATGAAATTTTTATGAATTAAAGACAAATGCTTAGTAATATTTGAAATAACAGTAAACACGTTTAGAAAACTCATCTGGGGTCATTAAAATGAAGGGATCTTATTCAAGAAGTAAGCATTACTATCTGAGAATTTTTATTTTTATTTAAGTTATTGATTATTTCAATTCATTGATTAATTTGTTAAAGTAAGTTGATTTTTGATGTTTCCACTGAAAACGCGTGGGTGGACTGCTGTTAAAGAACTAACATTAGATGAAAAGTTCCACCAGTACCTGCACTAAAAGGTTCATACCTCAACGTGTACAACTCCTCAGCTTAAGCTGTACTTGTCATGGTCTGTGTCTTCCTTCATGTGTCTCCTGATGTTTCTCCATCCCTCTCTAGATTCCCTTCTGTGTCTCATAGCACCCTCATGTGTCTTTTTTCTGCGTCTCAGTTAAAGTGTCTTATGTTGTTACCCTTTTAAGATCATTCCTCCCAGGTCAGCTCCAGCCTCTTTGTCCTCGGATCAGTGTATGTGTGTGTGTGTGTGTGTGCGCGTGTCCTCCCCAACTCACTGTAAGTGTGTGTGTGTGTGTGCATGTCCTGTCCCTGTTCGGTGTTTGTGTGTGTGTGTGCATGTCCATTCCCCAGTTCAGTGTATGTAGGTGTGAGTTTATGTGTGTCAGTGTGTGTGTGTGAGTCCTTCCCTCAGTCTTTAGGTTTAGTTTTTCTGTTTTAGGTTTATCTGTCCTCCTTTGGTTCTGTTTCCCCCATTTAGATAAATTATTGTCACCTGTCTTCCCTCCAGCCCTCACCCCACACACCTGCTGCCATTTTCCCTAATTACTCCTCCCTGTGTATTTAAGCCCTGTCTTGTCTCTGTCTTGTGTTGCTCCATTGTGGTATTTCTGTCAGTCTGCTCTTATCTCTAGTGTTTTTGTCTCTAGTTTTTATTTTCGGACTTATTGGTTTTGTGGCTTCCAGCTCTTTTGGATTTATTTTGATTTTTGGACTCATCCTACAAATAAAAGGATTTTCCTTATGTAATCTCCTGCCCCATGTCATCCTGGGTACCTGCATTTTGGGTCCTAACCATCCTCTTATCGTGGCAGTACTGGCCTTACACAACAACATCAGTACAATACTCAGTATGTGTTCAGTACTTGTGCAATACCAGATTTACATTGTATGTCTGTACTTCTTACATTATGCTGCAAAGTTCTGGAATCCAAGTATTACATTTTTATTTGTAGTTTTTAGTGATTGAAGGTTACAATAATAGCTTACTGTCTATATGCATATACATGTACCTTTGTTATTATTTTAATTAATGTACTAATTTTATTATTATTTTTAAGTGTTTGTGCTGCTGTAACAAGTGAATTTCCCTACTGTGAGATCAATAAAGCCTATTCTTTTATCTAGGGGGCACTACTGCAATAGAAAATGCATTTGGGCTAATAATCTACAGGCCTAATCCCCCAAAATCATAGCAGTTCCTTTATAGTTGTTGCTCGTTGGTCCAAAGTACTTTTTTGGATGAAAGCAATGTTTGCATGTCATTCGGAAATCAAGGTGCCAGAGTCTGGAGGAAGACTGGGCAGAGGGAAATGCCAACATGCCTGAAGTCCAGTGTCAAGTACCCACAGTCAGTGATGGTCTGGGGCGCCATGTCAGCTGCTGGTGTTGGTCCATTGTGTTTTATCAAGGGCAGGGTCACTGCAGCTAGCTATCAGGAGATTTTGGAGCACTTCATGCTTCCATCTGCTGAAAAGCTTTATGGAGATGAAGATTTCATTTTTCAGCACGACCTGGCATCTGCTCACAGTGCCAACACCACTGGTGAATGGTTTACTGACCATGGTATTACTGTGCTCAACTGGCCTGCCAACTCTCCTGACCTGAACCCCGTAGAGACTCTGTGGGATATTGTGAAGAGAAAGTTGAGAGATGCAAGACCCAACACTCTGGATGAGCTTAAGGCCGCTATCGAAGCATCCTGGGCCTCCATAACACCTCAGCAGGGCCACAGGCTGATCGCCTCCATGCCACGCCGCACTGAAGCAGTCATTTCTGCAAAAGGATTCCCGACCAAGTATCGGGTGCATAACTGAACATAATTATTTGAAGGCCAACTTTGTATTAAAAACACTTTTCTTTTATTGGTCGGATGAAATGTGGAAATTTTTTTAGAGAGGAGTTTTGGGTTTTCATGAGCTGTACGCCAAAATCATCAATATTAGAAACAATAAAAGGCTTGAACTACTTCAGTTGTGTGTAATGAATCTAATATATATGAAAGTCTAATGTTTATCAGTTCATTACAGACAATAATGAACTTTATCACAATGTGCTAACTTTTTTAGGAGGACCTGTATGTGTATATCACTTCTTGTTGAAATACATCGACTTCAGGAAGAGTAGCGGTACAAGTTGCAGCTACTGGGGATCGAAATAAATGAAATTAAATGAAAGCTGAAAACAACTCACCAGATACCTTACGTAACTCGGGTTATGGTGCTGCTGCTTTAATCTGTACTCAATGGTGATTTTTTCTACTTCACCACAGCGAAGTGGTCTGGAGTATGGGCGTATCCTCAGATATCCACTTGTTGAAGGGCCAGGGCCAGACTTGTGCACTCTGAGTGATGCAGGTTCATAGTAAGAAGTTCCATGTGTCGGATACTCCAGTGTTGGTGTTTGGCTCACCTAGGAAGAGAGAGAGAGAGATGATGAACAGATCAAAGCCAGATTGAGCTTGAACTTTGTAGGTTACTCTTTAGCTTTAGAGCTACTTTTCACTCACATGAAGGAGGACATCTCCATTAAATGTCTCCGTGTTAAGCTCAAAGCTGGCCATCCCATGCTCATCAGCTGTGATAGTCTTCAGATTATAACCCTTTCCACCCAATAACAGGTACAGGTGAAGATGAGGAACCGGTTTGCTATCATAATCGACAGCTTTGACCTGTTGAAAACAGTTTCAGTCAGAGCGTGCACGACCTGAGCTGCCACACTGGCTGTAGGTCACTCACTTTTCCAAACAGCTTCCTTCCACTTGTGTAAGTCTTGTGGGTTTCAATGAAAGTCAGCCTTCCTATAGAGTATGTTATCATCATTCTCTCCCACTGTGTGTGTGAAATATCTGGACAGAATAACAATAAAATAATTTACCACAATTTGGTTTTACAACACAAAGAAGCTCTTTAATGGACGTCTACGTGACTCACACGAGGACTTGTCCCAGACTGTGGCGCTGACATCCAGGACGTCCAGCAAAGATTCAGGATCACCTTTGGTGAAGTTTGACATGTAGAAGTTGAAAGTGGCACAGCCATTATTACAGGTCTAGGAAGAAAAAGAAAAGCATAAAACAAAAATGATGGTGGCCATTTCTAAATGTGCAACAGCTTTAGTTTGGATCGGCTCAAACATCTGGAAGCTTTTGCTGAAAATAAAACGGCCATTTTCATTTTCTTCTTTCTATAAATGTTGCAAACAGTTCTGGAAACATTTCCAATGAGATAAAAGTCAGTTAAACACTATTTTCACCTGATTGTCTACATGAAGTATTTTCAGAGTAAAGGTCTTCCTGTTCCAATTTATGTCGTAATAATAATAATAATGATGATGATGATGTTATTATTATTATTATTATTATTATTATTATTATTATTATTATACATGTATTTATTTAATTTTTTGTAAGCCTGAGCTGACTTTCGTCATAAACTGGAGCTTTACCATACTGACAGTGTGATTTCAGTTCCCTACAGGAAATACGTTTATGCTGAGAAGCAATAATGTCACCATGGCAACTATACCTCCTTATGTTTGGTGTTGCATAGAGAGGTTGGGCCGATTTCCTTGGAATCTTCATGGATATGAGGCGGGGTGCAGGCATGATAGTTCTTGGGAGGACGGCAGACTCTCACTGTAACGTCTCCATTCACGGGTCTTCCATGTTTGTGCCTAAAAAAGTGAAATAAACAGATTTTATGTGGAGAAGAAATGTCTTTGGCAGCAAGAAGTATTAGTCACCCACTTTGCACATATGCGAACGTCAAAGGTTTTCTGTCCAACACTGACTTCTTTACTTATGATTACTTTGATGTCAAACTGGGGCAAACCTGCAACAGATTAAACATCACCAATCAGAATTTATTACAAAAAGGCTGATGGCATGTTGAAATACTTAAGGACAAGAAAAGAAAAGAATTAGGTCAAGCTTACCATACTTCTGCACCTTGAAGCTGTGATAAAATCTTTCTCCACGTGTTTTCACAATAATTCGATAAAACCCCTCAAGGGCATCTGGGTCCAACAAGTAAGAATGCTGCACTATTCTGCTGTGGCAAGTTTGATTCGCCCAATGTCCAATCTTGTTGTTGTGAGGATCCTGGTGAAGCAAAAAGAAAACACTTCATAGGAAAATAAATAACACATCGATGTTTGTTCAAATTAATCATAATGTCTCAGAAACACCGCAGTCAGGGACAGACTTTACTCTGTAACTACGTCTTTAACAACCTTCACACAGACAAACCCAAGTGGCAACAGAGGATAAAAATATGAGTAAATATTTATTTTAGTCTAAATAAAGTATTTAATAAAAAATACTTTCTTAATGAAATCATTGTAGCACATATGAGAAGTTGTTTCAGTGTGGTTTCTGTCTTACCTTGATCACTATTGAGTCGTACTGAGACAAATGGAAGAGAGAGAAAATGGAATCAGGACAAACGGACTTTATGGAACCTCGCTTCAAAACATAACTCAGATTTTTGCTGCTGATGGTTTAAAAACACAAACGACGGAGAGCATCGTCCAACAGTTTCTGTCATTGAGCTTTTCCTGTTTTAACCCTCTCAGGCTCAGAATAAGTTCTGATAAAAGGACGAACAGCTGAGTCCTTCAGGGGAACTTCTGAGTTAAAAATGCTCATGAAACACGTGCGTGGAGTAACCAGGTAGGTAGGTTTTAACGTTGCTGATCTGCAACGCCTGCCTCCAGAGGGTTCATGTTTTGCTCATATTTGATCATTTTTTTGTGCCACACAAGTGACAGGTTTACCGAACACAGCCTACAGTTCACAGACATGTTGTTTTATTTTAACAGGAATAATTATTTTAATTTCATGGAATAAAAAAGGAGAAAGTTCAAAGACTCACCACTTCATTGATTGGTCTTAAGTTGGTGTCCAGCGTGATCACTCGGAAATCCACTAGAAGGAATAAAACAATATTAATTACTGCTTTTGCATTTTTCCATCACAGTCCCGGTTACCATGGTGACACGCTTCATTTTATGGCTTTTAACATGGGGGCTACACTGGGTTTAGGGTCTTGCACCACCAACCCCCTAATTGGCATTTAGACGCTGATCCACAGCCACTCTCCCAAACATGTTTAGTGTCTTTGTACAAACAAATAAACTTGCTCTAGATCTGTGTTTCCACCTCAGATGGGTAAGAGTTAAGAAAATCAGTCAGTAAAGAAACGCGCACATTTAGCCCTCCCACTGTCTTTATGGGTGACCCCACGAGGAAAGTTGACCATTGAGCAGGATTGATGGTTTATCCCTTGAGGTCCATGTGGCAGGGGTGAGGCGGTGCTCACTCCTGCTTCTGGTGGGAGGGATATACATGTCCTAGAAGGATATCTGAGAAGCTAAAGATCATGTTCTCCTAAAGCAGCTCATAGTTTACCTTTCTGTCCAGAGTTGTAAATTGGTTTGTCTGTTTGAATGAATGTTCTTGGGTTAAGAACCTTGATCAAGACCTTCTTGATCTCTTTGGAGTTAAATGTGTGGCTTCTTACTACAACCTCAACCTTCTGCACTTCACTCTTTCGCACTGAAGGAACCTGTGAGACAAACGTTAGAGAACAGAAACATGAGGTGTTAATTCTTGCAAGAAAACTCGCCTTACTAAGGTTTTGTATAAATCATTGTTTGATAGATAAAGAAAAGCATGAAGAACAGCACTAATGGGGACAATAGAGAAAAAACAATCTTAAGAGCTGACCATAAAGAGGTAGCATTTATAAAACCCGCTGTTGGTTCCTTTCCTTAGCAGAGTCTTCTGATGGTCCTCGTCCTTCAGGGTGACCGTTATAGTCATGTGGTGGCTGGGCTGTGAGAGACTCAGGCAAAACAAGGCCTTAGATCCAGCTTCAAGAACAGCAGGAATGCTCAGCAGATAATATCTGCAAATACACACAGAGTCGTAAAATCAACCGGACAAAGCTACAGACCCACAAGCAAAAACTTTGACTTACATCGGACAGTTAGTGCTTTTCGTAGGGCCATGTTTGTAACCATGATGGTGGTCATCTTCATGGCTGTGTTTGTAACCATGATGGTGGTCATCTTCATGGCTGTGTTTGTAACCATGATGGTGGTCATCTTCATGGCTGTGTTTGTAACCATGATGGTGGTCATCTTCATGGCTGTGTTTGTAACCATGATGGTGGTCATCTTCATGGCTGTGTTTGGAATCATGATGGTGGTCATCTTCATGGCTGTGTTTGGAATCATGATGGTGGTCATCTTCATGGCTGTGTTTGGAACCATGATGGTGGTCATCTTCATGGCTGTGTTTGGAACCATGATGGTGGTCATCTTCATGGCTGTGTTTGGAACCATGATGGTGGTCATCTTCATGGCTGTGTTTGGAATCATGATGGTGGTCATCTTCATGGCTGTGTTTGGAATCATGATGGTGGTCATCTTCATGGCTGTGTTTGGAACCATGATGGTGGTCATCTTCATGGCTGTGTTTGGAACCATGATGGTGGTCATCTTCATGGCTGTCTTCAGAACCATCTCGAGAACCATCACCAGGATCTTTTATGTGGCGATGACCATGGTCATCACCAGAGTCTGAGCCTGATCTAGCTGCTGATTGGCTCACATACATCAAACACAGGAAGGCACACAGAGCACAGATCGGTTTCCAAAGCCGACCCATGGCTGACTGTGATGATCCTCAGAGACGTTACCCATTAAATAAGCTCCAGGCAGCAGAAACTCCACCCATCCATCCCCTGCAGCACACGCCTACTGCTGTAATCAAGTAACACATACGGTTCCATTTCTCACAACTTACTCGGTGTTTAATCTAGTACTTTAACTATCAAACGCAAAAGGGTTTTTACACCAAATGGAATAGTATATACACCACCAGCCAGATTAAAATGGAATTACGTTAAAAAAGGGAGAAAACATCACCACTACAAAGCTTCAATGACCTTCCCCTCACTCAAAGATAAAACAAGTGTGTCTAAAAGTTCCACATGTTCATTGATAAAGGGAAACTGTTAGTTGTTTTGATTGTAGACACAATAGGTCTGAAGTGAGGGCAACTGTGAGTGAGGCTTTCTCAGTTTGGGGTTATTGCTGAAGAATGACCTTACACCTGGTCCATTAGGGATTTTTCAGCTGGACTAATATCAAGTGTTTCTGAAATTAAGTATAACATAAAAGTGTATCTGGATCAAGGGCAACTAATACCCAAGAGTTTATTAGATGAGGGGTCATCATGCCTGTTTTGAATGACAAATGTAAGATCCAGAGTGAAGCGGTGGGCATCTGCATCAAACCTGCAGCATGTCAGCAGGGAGTCAGCTGGCACAGATAAAAGCATCACTATCATCAGCAAAGACACGCTATCTAAGGAAGAGGAAAGCCGATGTGTTGGGTATTTAACTGAAGACAAAATAAGAGTTGAGAAAAAGATTGATGAGACTCCAAGGATATTATCATTATGCGTGTGTGTTTCACACACACACAGATGCACACACACACCCCTGTGTTCTCGTTTATACATCAAAGTGAGGATCAGTGACAAGTTTTTTTTTACCTGTAAACTGAGGACAGGTTGCTGGTCCTGACTTTAGTACTAATGTCACAGAGCTCTACTGGTTAGCAGGGTTAGTAGGGGTAAGGTGGAAGTTAAGCTGTAGTTAAGGTTAGTGTTAGGAATAGACTGGTTATAGTTAGTGTTAGGACTGGTTATAGTTAGGGTTAGGCACAATCCAGTCACTAAAATGAATGGAAGTCAATGCTAGAAGAGAATACGTGTGTGTGCGTGTGTGTATGTGTGTGTTTGCATGTGTGTGTGTGTGTGTGTGTGTGTGTGTGTTTATGCGTGTGTGTGGGTGTGTTTGCATGTGTGTGTGCGTGTGCTTGCATGTGATGTTGCATGTGTGTGTGAGTGTGTGTGTGTGTGTGTGTGCGTGTGTGTTTGCATGTGTGTGTGCATGTGTTTGCGTGTGTGTGTGCGTTTGCTTGTGTGTGCATGTGTGTGCATTTGTGTGTGTGTGTGTGTGTGCTTACGTGTGTGGTTGCGTGTGTGCGCGTGTGTTTGCCTGTGTGTGTGTGTTTGCATGAGTGTGTGCAAGTGTGTGTGTGTGTGTGTGTGTCAGCATTTGCGTGTGTGTGATTGTGTGTGTGTGTGTGTGTGTGTGTGTGTGTGTGTGTGTGTGTGTGTGTGTGTGAGCATTTGTGTGTGTGGTTGTGTGTGTGTGTGTGTGTGTGTGAGCGTCTGCGTGTGTGTTTGTGTGTGGTTGCGTGTGTGTGCGTGTGTGTGCGTGTGTTTGCCTGTGTGTGTGTGTGTTTGCATGAGTGCGTGCAAGTGCGTGTGTGTGTGTGCGTGTGTGTTTGCATGAATGTGTGCAAGTGCATGTGTGGTTATGTGTGTGTGCGTGTGTGAGTGTGTTTGCCTGTGTGTGCCTGTGTTTGCATGAGTGTGTGCAAGTGCGTGTGTGTGTGTGTGTGAGCGTTTGTGTGTGTGGTTGCGTGTGTGTGTGTGTGTGTGTGAGCGTTTGCGTGTGTGTGTGTGTTTGTGTGTGGTTGTGTGTGTGTGCGTGTGTGCGCGTGTTTGCCTGTGTGTGTGTGTTTGCATGAGTGTGTGCAAGTGCGTGTGTGTGTGTGTGTGTGTGTGCTTATGGTTTGTGAGACCTATTTGTCAGGTTACAAACCAACATTATGAAACCAATAGGTTTATGAGACCATTTTTGATAGTCTCGTAAACCGTGACTTTTAAAGTGTTGTAATCTTTGAAAAATATAAAAAGTAAGCATTGTTAATATATTATTACAAACTTTGTAACAGCCATTATCATCTTATTTAGTTATTTCTGCAACTTAACCTTCCTTTTGTGTTTTATAGCCAATTTAAAAATTGGTTTTGTAAATGGGATCGGGAGATCGACAGGCGGATTGGTTCGGCGTCTGCAGTGATGCGGACGCTGAGCCGATCTGTCGTGGGGAAGAGGGAGCTGAGCCAGAAAGCCAGGCTCTCGATTTACCGGTCGATCTACGTCCCAATCCTCACCTATGGTCATGAGCTTTGGGTAATGACCGAAAGAACGAGATCGCGGATACAAGCGGCCGAAATGAGTTTCCTCCGTAGGGTGGCCGGGCTCAGCCTTAGAGATAGGGTGAGGAGCTCGGACATTCGGGAGGGACTCGGAGTAGAACCGCTGCTCCTCCGGATCGAAAGGAGCCAGTTGAGGTGGTTTGGGCATCTGGTCAGGATGCCTCCTGGACGCCTCCCCGGGGAGGTGTTTCGGGCATGTCCTGCCGGCAGAAGGCCCCCGGGTCGACCCAGGACACGTTGGAGAGGTTACATCTCCAATCTGGTCCGGGAACGCCTTGGGGTCCTGCCGGAGGAGCTGGTGGACAAGGCCGGGGAGAGGACGGCCTGGAGCTCCCTAGTTGGGATGCTGCCCCCGCGACCCGGACCCGGATAAGCGGAGGAAGACGAGACGAGAGACGAGACGAGACGGTTTTGTAAACCATATCAGTTGTGTTGTATATAATATCAGAGCCCCCTGCTGGTAGAAAACTGCATAGCAGGGCTGATACAACTGATACAACTTAGCACCTCAGCAGCAGGACTTCTCCTGGCCTAATACTGACTTCTCGCTAAAAAATATAAATTGCCATAATTTCATCATCGTAGGACACAGAGTCACAAAAATTTTTGTGGTCGTTTTTCATCCACTCCTAAACAACAATCATTAATCAGATGATGATGTCATCAAGGCTCCGCCCCCTCACAACAGAAAAGGTCATGTTTACTCTGAAAGCTTCCAATTGTACCCTTTTGATCTAACCAACATGAATCATTGCCAAATAACAGTTGACATGTTGAGCTCACTTAGCATCCAGTACTGGCAGGTGTTGAAAAAGGGAGGGGCTGTGGCGGTATGGCGAATTCAGGCATAACGCCGTAGCAATACGTTTGCCTCTCATTTCCTCATTCCTTAGCTTATCTGCAGGAAATGTTGCATGAGTGTGACTAATCTGACCTCAAACACATATGGATGCAAACATCCGGTGGGTGTGGTCTATTTTTTTCAAATAGCGCCCCCTAGGACCATTAAAAGAGTAAGCCCCATGTCATGCTTTTACTGAGGATTATGAAAGTTGGTACACTTATGTAGTGTCTCAGAACCTACAAAAAAGTCTATGGAGCCACTTTCCAAATCCGACAGGAAGTCAGCCATTTTAGTCACATGACTATTTCTTCTTTTCTTTTTTGCACATGCTTAGTTAGAGCTAACTTACCGTAGAGTTTTTGACCTATTGACTTCAAAATGACAAATTTCACTCATAAGCCACTGGGAATCAAAAGTTGTGAAAAACATTCTCAAAAGTATAACTGTGTAGGCATGGCTAAGCCTAAGATATTGACCCCTTGCCACATCAGTGGGTGTGACCTATTTCTTTAAAATAACAGGCCCCTAGGGCGATTAAAACTATCAGCCTCATGCCATGCTTTTACTGAGGATTATGAAATTTGTTACACATATGTAGTGTCTGGCAGGTTTCAAAAGAGGGTGGGGCTTAAGCAGTCTGGCGAATTTAGGCATCACACCATGGAATTACGTTTGCCTTTAATTTCCTCAGTTCACATCTCATCTGTGCAAAATGTAATGTGATTTACTCTAATCCAAACCCAAACAGATAATTATACAAATTTTCCATAGGCATGGCTTAGTTTTAATATAGTGCTCCCTAGGACCATCACAACAGTCAGCTCTATGTCATGCTTTGACTGAGGATTATGATATTTGGTATATTCATGATGTGTCTTGAGACTTACAAAAAAGTCTCCTGAAACCATGTTTCAAGACCAACAGGAAGTTGGTCATTTTGGTCAGATGATGCCATTTTGTCATTTTAACACATATTATATTTTAACTAACTTGTCCTAGGGCTTTAGGCCTATGACCAAAAATTGATAAGTCATTGGGAATCAAAAGTTGTCTAAATAGTTTTCAAAAGGACTAATGGTGTAGTTTGGGCTTAGTCTCAAATATTGATTTTTTT